AGAGAGAGATTTACCTGCTGCTTCTAAACTTAAGTAATATTACAGAGTACCAAGGACACTTGAGATGTCCTGAAGAGTCAACTAAGATGACAAATGAGGGTTCCCACCCAGTCTCCCCCAACCCGCCTTTCTCTCTGAGAGAAAACGCACACGGATGATTATGAGCTCTTCCTGGACATACTCACTACACAGACAGGACAGGAACTCGGACCTGGGTGCTGCAAGTGCTCAGCCTGGTCCGTCTTCTTCAACACTAGGCTAGATGCACAGAAGACCCTGGAGGAAAACAAAGAGATCCTAAGATAATCTGGAAAGTTCAACACACCTTTATGATTAAAAAAAAAATTGTTTTTAAAGCAACTAGAACTAGAAGCTGGGTTCTCATGCTGGCGAAAGGCATCTCAGAACCCATGCTTCCTGGAGGCCCATGCTGTCCCCTGAGTCAGGGGACACAGGGGTGTTCCTCTTGCCACCTCTCTTCAACATCATGTTAGAGACTGTAGCCAGGACAATTAGGCAGGAAAAAGAAATAAAGGGCACTCAGTTGGACAGGAAGAAGTAAAACCATCTCTCTTCACCAGGGACATGGCTACAGACAGAAAAGGCAATGGAATCTATCAATCTCAAAATCTCCCAGAACTGATAAATAAGTATGGCAAAGCTACAAGAATCAATATACAAGAATCAATCACCAAATCCTGGACACTAGCAACAAGCTTTCTGAAAATGAAACTTAAAAACCATTTTATACATTAATACCAAAAAGGAAAATATGGAGAAATAAAATTTTTAAAGTACAAGACTCATGTACCCAAACTGTACTACAGAAAGCAATTAAAAGGCGGAGCAAACAGAAAGAGCCGGCACCCACAGTCAGTCTCCACTTAAGGTAGCACCATCTCCAGGGCTCTGCAGCCATTCTGTCGTCATCAAATCCCAGGCTGCTCTGCAGAAGCGGACAAACTGGCCCTAAAAGTCAAGTGGAAACACAAAGGGCATTAAACAGTCAATCTTGGAAAAGAAAAGCAAAACTGAAGAACCCACCCTTCCTGACTTTGAAACTCATTACAAGCTGCAGTAATCGAGAGAGCATGGCCCTAGATAAGGACGGAGAATGCACCAGTGCAAGAGGCTTGAGGAACCAGGAACCGCTTTTCTACTTGAGCTGATCATCAACACACATCCCAGACCATCCAGACGGGAAAGAACCATCTTTTCCATAAATGGTGTTGGGTCAAGTAAACCTCCATGCTCAGAAGAGCTACCTCCCATCCGAGTCAACTCAACACGGATGAAAGACGTCAGCCTAAGTGCTTGACCTTGGACTAGGCAACAGTGCACATGCACAAAAGATATTAAATTGGACATAATTAAAATTAAATATGTTTTCCTGCAAAGGCCACATTAAGAAAGTGGAATGGCAACCCGAGGAATGGAAGAAAGACCTGCAAATCATGTATCTCATCAGTCTAAGATGTGCTTCTGGAAAATAAGAAGATCACTCAGTTTCCCAGCAGGCAAGGATCTGATCAGACATTTCTCCAGAGAAGACACAAATGAGCACCTGCAGAGATGCCCAGCATCCTTGGTCCTCAGGGGTAGCTGCTCAGCATCCTCTGCCCCTCAACCCACTTGAGACACCACTCTACGCCCACTGGGTAGATGCAACCAGAGACAACTGTTGGCAGCCCATAGAGAAATAATACCCTAGGCTGGGGTTGTGGCTCAGCGGCAGAGAGCTCACCTACCATGTGTGAGGCCCTGAGTTCGATCCTCAGCACCACATAAAAATAAATAAATAAAATAAAGGTATTGTGTCCTACCAAACTAAAAAATAAATATTGAAAAACAAAAGAAAAATAGAAATGACACTCTTTCACCTGTCAGTGAGGGCGTGAGCAGTGGGCCCCTCTGCCAAGTAGTAGGAGTTCTCCCAGAGGTTAAGCCTGACAGGCAACCGTGGTCCATCTCTTCAGTAGATTCCCAAGTGAGATGAAACCGTGTTTCCCCACCAGAACCTGTACGGGAGTGTCCTGGCTGCATCCCTCTGGATAGCTGAAAGGTGGAAACAAGCTAAGTCACAGAAACAGAAAACAGAGAAGCAGAAGGTGCTGTGTCCATAGGTGCATGTGGGCACCTGGAAAGCATCATGCTCTTGAAGGAAGCCAGCCATTTAAGCCCTAACTGTGATCCCATTCCCATGAAGTGTCCACAATTGCAGATGAGTCTGGGTGTGACAAAGGAAGTGGGGGGGACAGGGCTTCAGGGTGGTGAAATGTTTTAAAAGTGATCTTGGGACAGTCCCATAACTCCACAAACGCGCTTGAGGCTACTGGGTTGCGCGCGTTAACTAAGTGAATGGCACGGTGGGTGTGGGCTTTACAACTCCATCCAGCTACCCTCTGAAAATAAAAGGCAAGTCACGGCTTCCGAAGTTCAGGTATCCCCCGGGAACGTGCTAAGGCCTTATTTTCCAACTTTACAACTGTTTATAAATGGGAACAGGCCTCTTAAAATGTGATACTCTTTTCAATCCAAACAAAACCTTCCTTTTGTCCCACTTTCGCCTTCTTCCCCTTTCGCCGGCTCCTCCTTCTCCGACGCCTGGCCGCCCTCCGAGGCGAGGCGCGGGGATCGCGCGCAGACCCCCAGCAGCCCAGCTCGCTGGGGCGGCCGGGGAGGGCTGGGGGCGGCCGCTGTGACCTGGGGCGTTGCAGACACCGCCCCCCGCGGCCAGCGATAGGTCCCTCTCCACCTTGGCGACCTGCGGAGCGGGGCGGGGAGAGGAGACGCCGCGGCGCGCGCCGCGGTCCGCAGGCTCAGAGGCGCGGCGGCGGGATGTGGGCGCCGGGCGGCCCCCCGGGACCTGCGGGCTGGGACCGCCGCAGAGTGGGCGCGAGGCTGCGCGCGGCGCTGGCTGGGCTGCACGAGCTGCGGGGGCTGCGCGCTGCGCAGCAGGCGCGAGTGCAGGGTGCCCTGGCCATGCAGCCGGCGCCCGCTGGTCCCCGCGGCCCCAGCGGCCAGGAGCTTCGGCTGGAGGCGGCGCTGGCCGCTCTGCAAGAGCAGCTGGTAAGGGCAGGTCCGGAAGCGCTTTTACCTGCGCAGGCGGCGGCCGGGATGGGCAGAGGGCGAGGGGCTGTCTGATGGGCCAAGGGGCCGTCCTTGTGCTTAACTGGGATGCAGCTCTGTGCTAACCGAGTGGGACCTGCAGGCCGGGTGCGTAGGTGCGTAGGGGTAACCGGCCGCGGGTTGTGATCCTGGGAGCAGCGGGAGGAACTGTCCGCCCTCGCCCCGCTTGCGTGGGAAGCGCACCCGCTGCATGCGTCCCACGCAGACCCGATTGGGGTTGCCTTCACGCCCGGGTTGCAGTGCTGCTCTGGGAGGACTCCAGTGCCTTCATTTCCCCTGGCTGGAGTTGCCTGCGCATCCTGGCCTTATCCCAGGGTACCCGGTCCTTCCTGTGCTGCGCTGGGTTAGGGACAATAGTGCAGAGCGCGCTCTGAACCGTCCTGGATGTGTGCTCAGCTTGAATAGGGTCCAGCCTGGACGTGTGCTCAGCTTGAATGGGGTCCAGCCTGGACGTGTGCTCAGGTTGAATGGGGTCCGGCCTGGACGTGTGCTCAGGTTGAATGGGGTCTGGCCTGGACTGTGCTCAGGTTGAAAGGGGTCCCGCTGCCATAAGGAAACAGGTGGGGGAAGTCGTGGGTCTGACTATGTCTGAGGAGGGCATCTTTCCCGTAACAGGCAACCTGAGCCATAAAGAGGAGGTGGGAGCCAAACCCTTGAAGCTTTCTCTACCCTGTGTGTTGCCTGAACTCCCCAAGGGGCCAATTCCTTGTTATACCCTTGAAGACACTCCAGTTACTACTCTTTGGGTTATGACTGTTGTGTATAATTTCATTTAATTTATTGAAAACAAAAGAGTTTTTGCAGTATTGCAATATTTTTTAAAACATCAATTAAAATGCTATACATGATGTCTGTTTGAGTTACCCCTATTTTTCCAAGTGGAGTTTCTTTTACATTGGAAATCCAATCTGTCCTGTTAAAAGTTACCCTCTTCAACAGGCCTCCCCAGGAGGCCTCAGCAGCGTTCCAATCAGCTTAGCTCATTCGTGTCCTTAACAGGGGCAAATGCTTCTGGATTAAAGAATCAGGAAGTCCAGTGACTGGAGACACCTCCCTGGACTCCTGTTACCTTCCCTTGCTGCCAGACACAGGTGAAGCCTGCCAGAGGGGGCCTGTCCCCTAACCCTGCAGCCTCTCTCTGCACCAGCTGCCCCACGGGAGAGGAGGGAGCTGGCGGGCAGTGGCTCCTTCACACTGCTCCAGCACCTGCTGACCCCCGGGGCCTGCGTGTGGGTTAGTGCCCAGCTGTGTCTTGGCTTCTCTGTGGCCTCAGCCAGGCACACACAGCCTTCGGGTGTGTTGCACGCACTCGTGAATGTTCTCAAGGAGGTGGGGGTGTGGCTGATGATTAACCTGGCCTCAGTAACACACCAATCAAGCTGTGGACTCGGGGCCTCTAATTACAAGTAGCCTTTTGGAAGAGATCAAAAAGGTTTTTGTTTAATTTTCTTTTTTTTTTTTTTAATGTGGGGACCAGAAGGAACATGCAGACTCTGACTTGAAACTTTGTTCTTGGAACGGATTATGTGATCAAAAGAGGAGGATAATTGACTTTGGGTGACATCAGCCAGTGCTTAACACTTTTACATTTTTCTTACAGGGAAAACAATTAGGAGTGATACTAGTTCTGTAATGAAGGAAACAATCCAAGGCTTTAGTCCAACCGCTAAACACACCAGTAACCAGCGGCCCGCCCCTCCCTGGCTTCACCTAGCCTAGGTGGATCTCCAGGTGTGAGGACAGGAAGAGCGTCTCTCTGGAGCAGCAGCCTTATCCTGCAGGAATTCTCAAGTGAGAACGTGCTCTAGCGTCCCTGGGGATTAAACTGTCTGAGATGAGCTCCACCTCACACTGAGTGGAGTGTCACAGGTCACAGAGCTGCAGAGAACGCTCTGCTGAATAAACCCACCAGTGACTTTTGTTTATGGAACAAAAGGAGAGATTTCAATATTTATTTCATCCTCTTCCAGGTTTCTATGCTAATGGCCCCTGTGCCCTCTGACCCCGGCAGGTGGCAGTAGCTCAGCCAGTCTGGGCAGAACCAGGGATGCTCTACCTGTCCGTGTCTTGAAGAGCGTTGGTCCTTCCCAGTCAGTGGCTGCCACTCTCGTTCCTGTAAGGTTGAGCCCCCACAGCAGCACCTAAGTAGAAAGATGTCCCCCACTGGTGACCCCGGAGGGAAGCCAGGAAACGCATGGGGACACAGTGAGTCTCACCCTGGAGGACGTCCCCCGGCTGGCTGTGCTGGTCACGACTTGCTCTAAACGTGGTAGTCGCAGCAAGTCCTTCCTGCGGGCAGGCTCCAGGGTTCCGAGCTGTAGGAGTGGGCCCCGCAGCTGTGAGTGCCAGTGTGATGCTGGGTGCTTCCTGGACCCACTGTTTTGCTTGGTGAATGCTCAGAGAGCCGAGGAAGGGTTGAGAGCTTGCTCAGGATCAAGGATGAGGGCAGGCGTCCACAGGACCTGCCGGGCTTCCCCCAGGTCACAGTACTGTCGTCCATGAATCCCATCAGGGAACCCGGCTCCTTGGCTATTGATTGATGGAGCCCTTTTTAACTCAGTGGTGATGTTTACCCCTCTACAGGACAAGGGCCATAGCTGTGTCCTTCATGCATAAAATATTGCCATTGTACATTCTTAGCCTTCAAGGAAAGAAAGGAAGTGGTTTAGATACCATCGCTAGAGCCTGAGATTTAAGGCACTTTTAATTTCTGCTCCGTGAATACAATTTTGTGATGACTACAATGCAGAACTGTTGATGGGGGGCAAAGCAAGTGCAGCTTAGATAATTTCCTGTGGGCCATAAAGTCAGCATTTCAAAGAGAGGGCTTAGCCAGATCTCATTTTTAGAGAACCACCTGGGATAGACAGCCTGATTTTTCCAGGTCTGGGAAATGGTTCTGCCCCTGGGCTATTATTAACATCCGGGCTCCAGGCTTGCAAGCTCAGGATCTGCAGGTGTGCCAGGTGATTACCCTGGGACCCTGGGTGGTCCACCCATGTGCCATGTCCTGCCTGACCAGCCCCCGACCAGGGGTCAGGCACTCTGACCCAAGAGCCCCCAGCACGTCTTGAGAAGCATGGCCCCAAGTGGGCCTGAAGTCCTGCAGTGAGAGTGAGAGCTGATGGGCCCTGGCCTGCTGCCACGGAGAGTGCTCTGGGCTGGGCTTGCAGGGCCGGGCCAGCCCTCGTAGCATGTCACCTTGGAGCACAAAGGGCCGTGGCCTGAAAGAGGAAGGAAACACAGCCAAGGAACTCCAAGTCAGGGACGGTGGAAAGGGCTAGCAGGGTGGTGTGAGCCTGAGTGGTGGCCCCGCAGGTGGGCAGCGGGCCTAAGGACGTGATGAGTCATCTGTGTGCCTTGACCAGAGTCGGATACCAGCCCGCAAAGGCTGGCCAGCAGTGTTGATCACAAAGCAGCTAGCCCCAACCCAGACACCAGGCAGACTGTGGCCAAGGGCTGCAGGTGGAGGGGAGGCCATCGGGGTCCGCAGGCTGCCTCCCTAGAGGCAGGGGAAGTCGTGATTGAGGAGAAGTAGATGCTTTTAGAGATGAAATGAGACCTAAGAGAGGAGCCTATGTGGCTTTATGACAGGAAAGAAAAATCATTTGCAAGACAGATACACGCTGGGCCTTCAGTAAATCTTTCTTGTTTTGTTTTTTCAAGAAGGTAACGGGGCTGAGCCTGTCTGTGCTGCAGGGCTTTTTTGGTAGTGCTGGGAAACATTCTGCTATTGTGACAATGGGCATGCTGGGACACCAGGACACTTGGACCAGTCTGGGTAGTTCTGGAAGCACAGAGTTCTGTTCAGCTCAAGGCTGGTTTTGCCACGCTCCTGTTTACAGATGATATTGTGGCTTGGAGACTCCATTCAGACCTGGGAGGTTGTTCCAGGACCTCTGATTTGTCTCCTGGAGGAAAAGCTAAGCTGACTTACATAGTCCCCCCCAAGCTGTGTGTCACCTCACCTGGGGTGATGCTGGGGTGTCGGTCAGGACTGGGAAATCTCTGCAGAAGTAATCCTGTCCTGTGAGCAGGACATTGTGACTCCCTCCTTCCCCTGTGAAGATTTCTTGTAATGCTGAAATTACTAAAGTTGTACCCCAAAGAAATGCAATCCATCACTTTCTTAGGATAAACCCGTTTATTTGAAATGTTGCAGTCGGCCTGGAAAACATGCTGAAATTCTGTAACTGAGAGAAGTCAACATTTACTAACTTCTCAGTGCTAGATGATGTAGAGCCATGGATATAGACATATATGGTATTCACCTGTGTACATAGATTGTGTTCCTGGCAGGTGAGGTGGGCAGGTGGACACACACATGTGGTTAATGCTCCTAAGAACCCACGTGGCTACCAGGTGCCCGGCTGGAGGAGACAGCCTCTGTGGGCAGTGAAGACCTCACCATTTCTTTCATGCAAGTTGAATGATCTCTTTGTCTCTTGTGGTGCCCGAGGCCCTTGCTGAGAGTCTCTTCCCTGAATTCTCTCAAACCTGTGGCAACCAGAGCCATCTCTCGGGAAAGGGAAGGGAGGCAGGATGCAGGATGTCTCTTCTCTTCCTGGGGACATTCTACCCTGGGAAGGTGGCAGGAGGGCACAGATTCACCGTCCCCAGCTGCGTCTCCCCAGGGGCTACTGTGAGGGTCACTGTAATTGGGGGTGAATTCTTACCTGGAGCAGAAACAAAGCAGCAGGGTGAATGTCTCTCGTGGGTGCTCGGAGGTGGGGTCCCCGTGCTGCTCCACCCTCCCAGGGAGCTGCTTTCCTGCCTCCCCTTAGGAAGAAAAGCCTTACTGGAAATCGTGAAGCGTTTTACAAGTCTGCGTTGGAGGAGAGTGGTTTATGTGTGCCTCGTTCAGTGTGTGCCAGTAGCACAGATGTTGCTCAGCCTGAGTGAGGGGCAGCCACCGTGATGAGCCCCCGGCGCAGATGCTGCCTTGCAGTCACCTTTCTGCCCACAGAGCCTCATTTCTGCACCTGCTCAACTTTCTTTTTTTTTTTTTTTTTTTTGCTTCTTAGTCCCAGCTACGACGGCAGGACACTGGGCTGCAGACCCACCTGGACCAGCTGGACCAGCAGATCAGTGAGCTGCAGCTGGGCGTGCACAGGTCTTCTGTCGAGGTCCCTGACAGCGACAGCAGGCCCAGCTCAGGTAGGAGGGCCAGGGCTGTGGGAGGGGCCGCCCGCAGGCCTGCCCCCCGGGGGCTGCAGAGGCTGGTGGGCATCAGAGTGACACCATGTGCCCACACCCCTCTTGGGGACCTTGTCTGAACTGGTGAGCAGTGCTGGCCCTGGGCCTGTGGCTCGGCTGATCTGGAAGTTAGGCGGCAGCTGGAGGCCTGAGAAAGCCCATGTTATCAGAGAGGACCCAGCAAGGCGCTGTGAGGGGAGGTACAGCTCCGTGTGCACCTGCATGTGGCAGCAGTTTGCCTTGGACGGGACCCAGAGCTTCTCCCTCCCCGGCTCAGCCGTCAGCTCTGCTTGGCTGGGCACCCACGCCTTCCAGTCCACAGACTTGTCAGCCTCAAGTCTGCACAGCATGTCCAAGGGGACAGGGAAGTCCCCTTCCCACCACATCTCAGAGGCCACAGGGGTCAGCCACAGTCTCTGTGGCTCTGGTCACTTTCGCCTCCATCCCAGGCCGCACTGGAAAGCAGGTCTGTCTTCAGACCACTGTTGGGAGGTTCCAATGGCAGCATGGGGCAGGACCGGTGCTGCCGGCCACCACGCTTCCCAGCCTGGCCGGGCTGTGTGGCGCCTCCCATGGCCCAGGGCAGAGGTGTCCTGAAATCACCCCTCGCAGGCGCTGGGGGGACGGGGAGATGCCTAAGGCCTGGCTCAGGCTGGACCTGCGGAAGAGACCTCCCCTTCCATGGGGCAGCTACCACAGCTGTCGGAACTGCTGGCCAGGGCAGGGAGGGGTGGGGGCCGGTGAGGCGGTTCTGCCCTTTCCACCGTGCTCACAGCTGCTGGAAGGTTCTGCAGGCTCCCCCCTGGCCCTGGAGGAGTGGGAGGGAGAGGAACCCGGGGTCCTCAGGCAGAATCGACTGCCCAGGGCACACTGACCTGCATATGTCTGTTCTGTCCAGGCTTCTACGAGCTGAGTGATGTGGGCTCCTGCTCTCTGTCCACCTCCTGTGCCTCAGTGTGCAGTGACCGCCTGTCCCCCTCCCTGGGCAGTCTGCTGCCTGCAGTCTCCATGGTCAGGCCCAACATGGGGGACTGGCGACCTCGGTCTGCTGATGAGACCACTGTGCCAGCATGGAGACCCCAGCCCATCAAAGAGAGTGGCAGGCTCCTGGACAGTGGAGGGGACCCTGGCCAGCCCAGAGGCATGTTCCGGCCCAGGCCAGTGTCTACAGGTGAGAGAGCCAGAAGGGGTGGGCGCAGCCAAGGACGGCCTGTTCAGACCTGCTAGGGATGGAGCAGAGACCCCCTGGGTTGTCTGGGCACTGCCCTGCAGGGAGAGGAGCAATCCAATGTCTGCATCTGGGCAGGATGGACACGCCGTCCTAGTCTCCTAATGTGTGGGTTTCCTTAGGACTTAAAATGCATATCAGAGAGTCAAAAGGCAATCCTTCCAAACCCTCTGGTCTGCCTGAGGTTGGGGAAGGTGGAAAGATGAGCCTGCTCCCCCTTAGCTTCCTCCCTGATCCAAAAGGAGGGAAGATGCCATTTGGCCTCCTTCTGTTTCGGTGTGAGACGGAGTTTGGTGCCAGCCGTGGCTCTCCTGGTGAAGGCGCCGCAGTGCGCCACCTGTGGAACGTGTGCTGCTGCAGAAGCCTCGGCCCCTGCAGCCTGCAGACCCAAAGCAAGGGCCTGAGCTCACTGTGGACAGGGACTGAGGGCCATGGAGGAAGAGCGGGCGCCCACGGCCAGACCGCTCTCACGCCTGACGTCCTGGGTGGTGCGGAGGTCCTGCGGATGAGCCCCCGCAGGCCACGTCAGTGAACTCCTGGTCACTGATGCCCTTGTTCACGGTGTTCTGTTCCAGGAGATCTTGAACGCGTCCTCCCAGTGGACTTGGGGCTCCGGAGAGTTGACCAGGAGGCCACATCCCCCTCTCACCTCTGCCAGGGGATGGATGTGCCATCCCCCAAGCTGGACCCCAAGTACCAGCGTGACCTGGTGTCCAGGGGGGGCCGGGAGGTGTACCTGTACCCCAGCCCCCTGCACGCAGTGGCCCTGCAGAGCCCCCTGTTTGCACTGACTCAGGAGACCCCGCCGCTAGATAGCCGTTTGCCCCCCAGGAGCCCTCTTTTGGGCGCCAGGGACCTGAGCACCACCCCAGCAAGGCCAGTCCTTGAGGCAGGTCCAGCTGGAGCTTACATTGACAGGCTGCTGCGTCTGCGAAGCCAAGAGGCCGCGTCCAGGGGACCTGGTGGGGAGCAGGGACCCCCAGGACATGAAGCATCCCCATCCCCCAAGAAGCCAGATGCCCAGAGACTGGACAGTGGAGGTCAGCCTGCGAAGCTGGTCTGTTCCCCAGGGAGAGGGGATCTGGGAGTGGCAGCTCAGAGCAGGGCCAGCAGTAGAGACGGCCTTGGGCAGCAGGAACCTGCACCCCTCCTGCATACCCAGTCCCCCAGACACCCCCGGGAAAAGGGCCCTGAGCCCTGGAACCTCTGTGCCTTCGGGGAGACCTCTGTGGGCCCCTCTCCCTGCCCCCAGGCACAGCAGCCCCATGGAGACCGCAGCCCAGGCATCTCGTCCTCTTCTGGGAGCGTGGACTGTGGAAGTCCCCCTAGAGCCCCAGGCCATCTTGTCCACCCACCTTGCACCGCCAGCGAAGCCTCCCGGATGGGGCTGAAGACAGGCCACCCCAAGACCAAGCCTGTGAAGGTCAGGAGGAAGGCCAGCGACAAGATGCCGAGGCTTGGGAACCAGGCGCCACTGCTGCCAGAGAGACCTTGGGGTGTCCACGCTGCCCCCCAGCGGTCCCCAGAGTGTGGCCCCACACACAGGCCCCAGGAGGGAGGGCTCAGGAGGAGGCCTGGGCTGGCTGGGGTTGCTCCTGGACGGTCCTGTTCTGAGTCCACTCTGTACCCTGTGCCCTTCTTCGTCCCCCTGTTGGTGGCCCAGCGGGAGAGCTACCGGGCACCGTCCCAAGCCCTGTCCTCCTTGGAGACAGCCCCACTTTGTGCAGCCGCCAGGAGGAAGCAGCGCAGGTGGCAGTCCACCATGGAGATCTCAGCCGAGGCCCATCTGGCCAGTGCTCAGGAGCCCAGCCTGGGGCCCTCGAGGTCCCCGGCCAGGAGAGCAGGTGGCCTACAGGCCCAAGGCCGGCCCACGCTGGCCCGCCAGGACGCCTGCTCCAGGAGCCAGTCGGACTCCGCAGAGTGCTCAGCAGAGTGTGCCTCGCTGCTGCAGTCCACCATTGCGGAGAGCAGCGAGGAGGCGGCCAGCGACCACACTGCCAACCGCTTTGGGGACGGGGAGTCCAGCAGCAGCGACTCGGAGGACTGCTTCCAGAGCCACAGCCGCCGCCTGGGAGTGGACGTCGCGGCTGCCAGGCGGGGGGAGCTGGCCTGGCCCCAGGCAGTCCCCCAGCAGCCCCCACGGGCCCCCGTGGGTGCAAGGCCTCCCCTACCCCCAGTGCCCAAGCTGTGCCGCATCAAAGCCTCCAGGGCCCTGAAGAAAAAGATCCGCAGGTTCCAGCCGGCGGCCCTGAAGGTCATGACCATGGTGTAAGGCAGGCTCCTGATGGCCCGTCCCTCTGCGTGGACAGGTGTGGGTTTGCAGGTTGGCTTCACTCCTGAGTGGCCACTGGAGGAGCCGTGGGAGGCCTGGCCTTGGGATATGGCTGCATGCTCTGTGGGGAGATCTTTCTTCCCAGCAGACTCAGGAGAACTGTGAAGTCACAGAGGACACAAGTGGCCTCTGCCAGCAGCCCCTCTGACGTCTCCGTCCTGTAGTCCAGTGGTTGCTTTCCTCCCTTGACCTACTTCAGCCTCAGCCGTCCCTCCAGAGACCGTTATTGGAGGAGTGTGGCCAACTCTGCTGGTGCCGCTGTGAACTGGGGCTCATGTTAAGCTCTCCCTGCGAATAAACCCCAGTTTGCCATTGTCCTCGCCCGGAGAAGCACGCGTCTCCTTGACCCGCAGCCTGGTCCCTGTGCGGCAGGCCCCGGGTGCTCCGAGAGCGCCCTCCTTCCTGTGCTGGCCTGGAGGGCAGGAGAGACCTGGTGGGAGCAGGGTCCCCCTGGGCGTCCAGGCACGGTGGGAAAACGACTTCCTTTGGGTGTGGGTTTTTTCCAAAGAAAACTCCCCTCGGCCTCTCAAGGAGCAAGATGGAGACTTTAACTCAGCTGCTCGGAGACTGTCCCAGCCTGCACAGCCCACACCAGGCTTTGTCCTGGGCCATCACAGGCTGCTCCAAAGTGCACCCTGGCCCAGAGCTGGAAAAGGGTCGGGGGCACCAAAGTCCTCACACTTCCAGACCCCCCTTCCTAATTTTGGGAAGAAGCTCTTAAGAAAACTACTGAAAATACTAGTAGATTTATCCCAGTTGTCAAATATTCCTGAACAAGCAGCCAGCTTTGGGTGCAGTCTGAGGGGCCTGACACTGTAAAAGTTGATTTGCATCTTAGAATTGAGAAGAGGACCTCCCGTCCTTCCTGCACGGCTTCCTGGGCGCGCCATTCCAAGACGCACGGTCCAGCTCTCCTCCTGTGGGCCCCAGGTGATGGGAAACTGGCTTTGCCAGGACCTGGCCTGCGAGGCCACTGAGGCAGCTGGTCGTCCTGGCCTGGCCGCCGAGGCCCTGGGCAAGTCCACACGGTGCTCGGGGGCGCTGTGTCCCCAGCTGGGCATCCTGGGGATGTGGTGGCTCCTTCTGCTCACTGGACATCTGCTGTAGCATCTACTGGGGCTTTCACGAAGCTTCCAGTGAACCACCTGGAAAGTGCACCCCCTCCTGCTCTTTGTGAGGCGGGTCGTGTCCTGCGTCACCTGTCACCTCCGGAAGGCAGGCTGTCACTGAGCAGGCTCCCATGCAGGCTCTGCAGAGGGGAGTGAGAGGGTTTGGGAGGCTCAGCCTCTCTGCTCATCCCCCTGGAGAGCCGCCTGACTCCTGATCATTCAGGTGCCCCCTGCCCCAGCCTGCAGGCCTGTCCACAGCCCTGAAAACCAGCCAGAACACCACACCACCCCAAACCAGTGGGCAGAAAGGGTCTCAGTGACCACAGTGCAGAGCAGCCAGGAGCGGCCTTGCCCTGCCCGCTGTGTGTCTGTCTGTCTTCCTCAGCAGCTTGCCCCTCCTGTCCACCCTCCTTCCTCTCACCCTCTACTGCCTGTCATTAAGGAAAAGTGTTCCAGGGACACTGACTGAAGTGGGCGAGGGGGACACCAGGCAGGACCGTCCTGACAGCATCAAGGACATGCAGTGGGATCCCCGGGAGGCAGCAGGGGCCAGAAGGACGCGATGGCCAAGCAGCAGGAAATGACCAAGAGGGGCATCTGGGGTGGGGACTGTGTCTAAATCCCCCCCACAGGAGTGTCCTGAGGGCAGCCCTGGTCCTCAGGTTTCCCATAGGGAGAGCCTAGTTGGACCTGCGAGGCAGGGGTTCTTACGAACCTGACTCAGCAAGCCCTGGCCGAGACCAGATTTCACAAAGACCCTCACTGGTGGGCTGGGGAAGCTCCAGTAGCCCACCACAGAGGGGCCTGAGGATCCCGTCTCTCCCCGTCTCTCAGTGGGGCCAACAGGCATTTTGGTTTCCTGAGCTGGACCCTTGCTTTCTGCTCTGTTACTCTCAAGGAGGTTTGGAGCAAGTGAATACAATGCTCATGATTCCTAATGGTTCCCCTGGCTGCGGGCTGACCCTCCCTCAGCAGTGAGCAGGACCGAGCAGCCGTGGGGCAGCCAGTGGCCAGCGTGTGGCCTTAGGCTGCTGTCACAACTGGGCTGAACCGACTTCCTTTCATAAATGAGGTTGACAGTAGCTTTGGGTTTAGAATGAAGAGCAAATTGACAATGTTAGACGTGGAAGCCTGGTCTCCTGGGCTCAACAGAGGGCCTTGAGCAGGACATGGCCTCCTGGTGGGGTGAAGAGTCCCCAGGCTCTTAAGGCACGTGGGCAGACTGCAATGTGCAGGCTCTGGGGCAGGTATAACTCAAGGAAGTAATTTACATACTCACAACCAGGCACGGTGACCCAGGCCTGTGATCCCAGGGACTCAGGAGGCTGAGGCAGGAGGCCTGCAAAGCTCAAGGCCAGCCTGGGCAACTTAGTGAGCAACATTCTCAAAATAAAAAGGGCTGGGATGTGGCTTAGTGGTAGACGTCAAGCATGGGTGGGGTCTTGGGCTTGATTCCCAGCACAGCCAAAAAACAAAACAAAATGGAAAACACAGTGACAAGTCAGAGCACCAGTGATGGACGAGAAGCCCCTTGAGGCCATGGGTGGACGGTCCAGGGTGGACTCAGGGCGGAGTGCCCAGAACAAGCGTGAGCCGAATGTTGCCCAGGACACCGTCCATGCATCCATCCGCCTGAGAGCAGCTTCCAGCCAGTGTGGTCATCTTCCAGACAGACGTGGGTGGCCATTCGCAGTGAGGAGACCCAGCAGGCAGGCTGTGTCCTGTGACATGGGGACTCAGGGAGGCACCAATGGGCGCACCCAGAGGCAGAGGAACTCACTCGTCCCTCCTGCTGAGAGCTGAGGACTCACCTTCTGGCTGTGAGAAATCCTTTGTAGCTTCTAGCATGATTGAAATAAAATATTTTAGCTAAATAAATAAATAGAAACAAAGTGAGCTCGAGAATCAAAGTAAGTAAGTAACCGCCACCTGCACTGCTACCCCCACTGCTGCTCCCTCTGACTCCGCTGTGGCCAGCTTGAGGTCGCTGGAGGTCTTCTGTCTGGTTGCTGCTGCCCAGAAGAAACCATGGCCTCCAGGCAACTGAGGCCCACACTGCTGCTGACCCCCAGAGATGGCCTGGTGACGCTGCCCCCACAGCTGCCATTGCGGCTACCGCTGCTGCTGACCCGCTGCCTGCTGCCAACAACCACTGCCACTTCCCCTGCCACTTCCCCTGCCACCATGGCCCAGAGAACTGCTGTGGGGAGACTCGGGTTTGGCTGCAGGTGGCTGCACCCACTTGGGGACACCAGCCGGGGCCTGGGTGCCAGCAGGTTTACCACCACCAGAGCCTCTGCCTGGGGACTCCAGCTGG